TCCCTCTCTCTAGTTTACTGCTACATATATGTTCCAGGTTTACAGCATTTACTGGAGGGGTTTAGGTTGTAGCCGTGTTGGTGTAAGGACATAGGCATGGTCTAATAAAAGATATCAAATTCACCCAAGGAACCTTGTCAGCATTTACTGGTGCTTTTAAGGGGGAGAGGAAGTCTGAGAGTGTTGTTTCTCAAAGCATTTAGTAAGCTAAACTATTTGAAGCCATGCAAGATGAGCACCAAAATTTCCAGGCAAGCATGTGGAAGTGGTTGCAAAGGAAATAGTTAATAATGGTTAAGTACAGATGTTCCAAAAGTCCAAGGAGGAATCAATCTAACTTTCGCAGCTTCCTGTAAGTGGCCTAGGTTAGATCGGTAGTAGACGGTATGCATGTTTGCACTTCGGTGGAAGAGGGCATGCAGGCTGCCTGCACTGGCTGAGGTCAGCAGGTTGGGGGTGCTCCTGCTCACTTCCCAGCATGCCCTGCAGGCACCCTGGGTTGCCAGAGGCTGCCGAGCACCTGGGCTACCCATGATTGGCTGCTGGGCACAGACAGGCATGTCCCCAACTCCCTGACACAGCAACACAGACTCTCCCTGTGTCCAGCTGTAGGCTTCCAGAAAAGCCCCAGAGCAAGTGTCCTCCATCATGACTTGCATGTTCCTCTGTGTCTCAGCATGCCCAAACCTTGCCATGGCACCCTACTGCCCATACCCAAGCAGGAGTTGCAGCATGTCTACTTGTTGCCCATTGTCACTATCACCAGAAGCTGCAGGACATCACACATGCCCACCTGGACATGAAGTGGCAGCTGGTCTCCGTGGCACATGGCTTCATGCCTCTGAGCCAGCAGCCAGACATCCCACACGGGGGCTACCTACCACACCCTGCACCCACTAAGCATCATGGCCAATGGGGACAAGGCCACCCAGGACTCAATGGACACTGGGGTGCTCCACCACCACCTCCAGACCATCAAGCACCAGTTCTGGACCAACACCACCAGTTCTGTTTGGTGACAGTGGCTTGTCCTGGGCACCTGGGACAATGAATAGCGGGTCTAGCACTAGCAGGCAAAACAAAACAGTTCATGGGCATTTCATAACACAACATTAAAGTACACAAGTGTACAGCAAAAAAACACAACTTACAGGCTACTCCATAGTATAAGGAATGAGGACAATCTTAAACAGTTACTTACACAGACAATGGTACAGCAATTGTGCCAAAAGGGAGGGAATAATATGAGGAAGCAAAACAGGTTAACATAAAGAAACGCTATCACCCACAACTAGTCCACCTGACTAGAATGCCTCAATAACCATAAAGCCAGGGCCCTCCTCCCCTGTGGAAACCCCTGTCTCTTCCCCTTCCTGGGACTGCAATCCCCTACCCGGGTAACTCATGACTCCCCAGCAGCTCTGTTGGGCTTGGCTCATCTCTCTCACCGTGGGGTTGGCTGCTAGGGTTTCCCCCCCTTGCTGGGATGACCGCTTCGTCTTGCTGCCGCTTGCTGCAGGAAGGCTGGAGCTGCCTCCTACAGCTACCCAGGCCTGTCAGCCCTCTCAGGCCCCACTTGTGAACTATGGGAGGGCTCCTGCCTCTCACAAGGATGGGGTCCCACGCTGCCTTGTGCAGCTGTAGGGTTCCCTTCAGCTCCGTCCAGGCCCCATGCACCACTCTGTGCACTGTGAGGACTTCCACCTCCCACAGGGATGGGAACCTGCGCTGCCTCATGCAGCTGCAGGGTCCCTTCAGCTCCTTCCAAGCCCCGTTGACTGCTCTGTGCACCATGGGGCTCCTGCCCCTCGCAGGGATGGGGACCTGCACTGCTTCATGCAGCTGCAGAGTCCCTCAGCTCCATCCAGGTCCTATGCACCTCTGTGCACTGTGGGTCTCCTGCCTCTCACAGGGATGGGGACCCACACTGCCTCATGCAGCCGCAGGCTCCCTTCAGGCCCCATGCACCACTCTGTGCACTGACACCGCAGCTCCTTCAGTGGTGGGGCTGGGATGCACCCGCTTGCTACTTCCTGCTCGGTGGAGGCATCTTCAGGGTGCTGCTGGGGCAATTACTCCACCCTGCTGGTCAGCTCCACCAGCCCTTCTGCAGTCCTTTTTCATCGTCCCTCATCAAAGCCGCCCATGTGCTGGGCACGTGGGCTTTTATCCCTTCTGGAGGCTCTACACCCCAGACTGAAAATTGACCAATAGGGAAGCCCAAGAGGTTAGTTCCCCCTCAGGTCCTCTTCTTTACCTTGCCTTTGTGTCAAGGTGGGGACGCCTTCCTCCTGCCTTCTCCTGATTGGTGGGGAAGGGTATCTCCCCCACCAATTGACCTGAACTATCTGGGCTCAATTAAACAAAACTTCCAAAACTCACGGTACTCCAGGGAGGTCCCCAAGGACTGAAAGAGGGCCAATGTTGTGCCCCTCTTCAAGAAGGGGAGGAGGGAGGACCCAGGTTACTTTAGGCCAATTAACCTAACTTCTATCCCAGGGAAAATCCTGGAAAAATTCATTAAGGAGTCTATGTGCAATAGGCTTGCAGAAGGTAGGATTCTGAATGACAGCCAGCATGGCTTCATTGTGGGCAGGCCTTGGCTTACCAACCTCATCTCCTTTTACGATCAGGTGACTCACCACCTGGATAAGAGAGAGGAGGTTGACATTATATACCTCAACTTCCAAAAAGCTTTCCATCTGGTATCCCATGATGTTCTCACGAGAAAATTGGAGGATTGTGGGCTTAACTGTGAGGCAGGTGGATAGGAAGCTGGCTGTGGGGTAAGACCCAGATGGTGCAAATGAATGGATCTGTGTCATCTTGGCGGGAAGTGGCCAGTGGTTTCCTGCAGGGGTCAGTGCTTGGTCCAGTGCTATTCAACATCTTCGTCAATGATTTGGATATAGGGGTGAAGAGCTCACTGGCCAAGTTTGTGGACGACACCAAGTTATGGGGAAGTGTGGTCATGCTTGAAGATAGGCTGCAGACATAGCTGGACCTAGACAGGCTTACAAGTTGGACGGACCAGAATCAGATGAAATTCAATGTCTAGAAATGTAAATTGCTCCACCTGGGAATGAACAATCCCCTGCACACCTACAGGCTTGGCAACGCCAACCTGACTAGTACTACGAATGAAACGGACCTGGGGTAAATAATAGACCACAGTATGAACATTAGCCGGCGGTGCAATGCTGTAACCAGCACGGCTAACAATACCCTGGCATGCATCAATCGATGCATCTCCAGCAAAACCAAAGAAGTGATTCTCCCACTCTACTCGGCATTGGTGAGACCACAGCTGGAGTACTGCATCCAGTACTGGGCGCTGCACTTTAACAAGGATGTGGTAAAGGTTGAGAGAGTCCAGAGAAGTGCCATTTGTATGATCGGAACCTCACAAGGCAATCCATACAAGGACAAGTTGAGGGATCTGGGACTCTTCCGCCTGAAAAAAAGGCTAAGAAGGGACTTGATAGCAGCTTACTGTTACCTCAGAGGTGTACATCAAGGGGTCGGTGAACAACTGCTCACCAGGGCACCTTTGGGGAAAATTAGTAGTAATGGTCACAAACTCCTGGAAGATTGTTTCAGGTTCAACATTAGGAAAAACTACTTCACAACAAGGGTGTCCAGACTGTGGAATAAGTTCCCTCCAGAGGTCATGCAATTGCCTACCCTGGAAATCTTCACAAAGAGTCTGGACAGTCACCTTGCTGGGGTCACCTGACCTCGGTTGTCTTTCCTGCTTGGTGCAGGGGACTGGACCTTATGATCTTCTGAGGTCCCTTCCAGGACCCCCATCTATGAATAAGCCAGGCTGCCAGTGAGCCCACTGGCTAGCCTGCCACATGAAGTATTATGGACCCCTCACCCCACCCAGTGCAGTGACAGCAAACTAGCTATGGTAAGGCCTCTGTCTGGACCCTTACCTGCCTGGGGCCAGGAGCCACACCACTCAGCTCCACCCAGAACAACAGAGACCAGGGTCCCAGCAGTTCTGTGGTTGGGCAGCAGGCCCTGCAGCAGTGCTGGGATGGATTGCTGAGCAGGGAGGGCCTGAGTCCTCTGTATGTACTGTGGTAGGCACCTGCCCTGTTCAGTCAGAGGGATCCAGGGACCCTGGATCCTGTGGGAACCTGAGCCATCCCCAGAGTGGGCAGGCAATGACCACTCTGGGGAATGCTGGCAGAGCCCTTACACCACCCCCTACCCCCATCTTTGCCTTACAGGAGAGGTTTCAGCACTATGTCCATACAGAAGCGATACTTCACTCCTGACATTTCCCTGGCAACAGTTGGCCAGGCCCAGAGGGATGAGGTTTACCACTGCTCCCAGGGGGCCTGCCAGCCAATACACTATGCTCCTGCTGCAGAACATGGTCCCCTAGGAGATGCTTGAGACCTGGACTGGGGTCTTCTGCTTTGACAGCACACCTGGGAAGCCCAGGTTGCCATTCAGTATGAGAATCTGCCTCGTATGCTAGCTGTGGCTCTGCTATGATGTGCTGACACCCCCAAATGAGTTCACAATCACCACCACTATTGATGGTCACCACTGCTATTGATAATTCA